TAAGTGGACCTTGTGGTGCTTCAGAAGTGGGGGAAGCCCTTGGAGACTTAGCACTGACCCAGGCCTGCCAGTCCTGGCATTCCAAGGCCTCCACTACCCCTTTCCTGTACCCTGCTTCCTGATCCTTGGATTCTCAACAGGCCATTTCCCCCCATGCCATAGCCTTATTCCATCCCACAGGCTAAATACTGTCCTTCTCACTTACCTTTTGAACAGTTCAGAGGCCTTCCAGAGCATTGGAATGGATTGCTTCTTTATGCAGCCATATCAGGGGTGAAATGCTCCCGGTTCGGACCGGATTGCCTGATCCGGTAGCGATGGCTGTGGGTGGTTCGAAGAACTGATAGCAAAAAACCCTGCCCCCCCCACATGCCCAGCTGAGCCGCGCAATCATCAGAGGCTTTTTTTTTTTTAAAGCATTTTTTTAAACCTTTTCGGCCAAAAAAATGCTTTTAAAAGTAAAAAAAAATGCCTCTGATGATTGCGCGGCTCAGCTGGGATCGTCAGAGGCTTTTAAAACCATTTTATCTACAACCTCTTCAGCCGAAGAGGTTGTAAAAAAAATGCTTTTAAAAGCCTCTGACGATCAGGCAACTCAGTTGGAATCGTCAGAGCCTTTTAAAAACATTTTTTTTACAACCTCCTCGGCCGAAGAGGTTGTAGAAAAAACAGTTTTAAAAGTAAAAAAAAAAAAATTAGCCACACCTACCCAGTCACATTACCCCCCCCCACCAAGCCACGCCCACAGAACCGGTAGTAACAAATTTTACATTTCACCACTGAGCCATACGGCATGGTTTCAGAAGCAATGATCATTTTGTCCTACCCACAAAATGACAGCCACATTTGGGTCATCAACGCACAGTCCTGCGGCCAACATAATTTTGAAACAAGGTCCAATGTAATTTTCGGGTATCTATTGTAAATTTGGGGTAACTTTGAACATTCTTTAAGTGACCTGTCATACCTCAAGGTATGACATGCCATAAGAAACTGGCCTTTTGCACTGTTTATTTCAAAGATAAGTTCCACTCAGTTTAGTATAACTGATTGAAAAGTAACCCTTAAAAAAAGATTGTAGCCTAATATAGGTTTGTTTCTAAACAAGAATGGGGTTTTTCAACCATAAGCAATATGCTAAATTGTAGGTCTCAGCACAATCATACATAGCACTTAACTTAGTTCAGACAAGCCTAAATCTGAAATATATTTATATTTCTTGCTTCAGTTAAGGAAAAACAGAATCATAATGATACTTAAGAGTTTTAAATGCAATTTCCAAAACACAAACTTATATACATTAACGCAGCAGTAAAAACCTGGCTCATATTAAGTTCTTCCAATAAAAATCCTTCCCATTTTGTTAGTGAAAGCTATGGGCCATGTAAAACTTTTCACATGATGTGCTGACACGAAACATTATCGGATTTGTTTTCACATGTCTGAGACTGGTAAAATCTTGATTGCTCTTAAGTGATTGTACACAAAGGAACCCACGGGTGACTGAAAATCTGTGGACATGATTTTTCCATTGGCAATACTTTCAGCTAGTTACAATCCAAATCTATGCAGTTTCTTAGAAGCAATGCACAACAGAATTTACTTCCATGTGTGAGTTTGTTAAATTTCCTGAGCTACATATAATACTGCAACAGAACAATTAAACTCTCATTTTAATTAGTATTCAACAGTTTTGTATATAAAAGTGTATTTTAAGCCATTAGACTATTCCATTATTTTTTTTAAAAAAAAATACTCTCCTTAGATCGTCCAAAGTCACTCTCAATAGAAAGCTTAGCATATATAGGGTATGCAAGGTACAAATATTAATGGTAATTCCATGACTTCCAATAAATTGGAATTTAGGCATTAAGTTTTCTCTAGCCTCTATAATTTAAGAATGGGCATTCTTTCATTTAAGTAATCATCCAAAGTACGAGTATGAAAACAAGGCTTGTCAATACCATTGAGTTTTATTCAATCCCTGATTAATTAATACACTGGTAGTCTTCTCATATGAGAGACAGTCTGATGTAGTGGTTATAGTACCAAGCTAGTAACTGGAAGATTGTGGGTTCTAGTGCTCCTTTAGACACAAAGCCGGCTGGATGACCTTGGACCAGTCACTCTCTCTCAACCATAGGAAGGAGGCAGTGGCAAACCACTTCCGGAAATTTTGCCAAGAAAACGGCTGGGACTACTCAAGACAGTTGCTAGGACTCAGCAAAGGCACAAAAACCCCTAAGTATTTCCTCACAAGAATAAAAAGAAGAAGAAGAAGAGTTAAGAAAACAGATCAGTTATCTATTTTATATTTAATTTTGGGTAGAAGTTTAGAATTAAAAGGTAAAGCTCAAATGCTAAGTATTCAGAACATTTCTTATTGATCTTTTTATAAGGCAAGGAACAACATGAACAAATGCTTTCAGAAGATGTTTCTTCCTTCATAACTCAGACTATTGACCTCGATGAAAGCCACATTAACAAAAGTCCAACTTCTACTAGGAGAATAGGGCAGAGTGCTAAACTTAAATGCATCCAGCTACTTGTGGCCTCTATGTTTTTGGGTGAACATAGCAAAGCATGGTTCAGAAAACTATCAACACAATCCCATTCCCTTTATTATTTAACCTTGAAGGGTATATGCAAAATCTTAATATTTTACATTCTAATTCAATATTTAAGTATGAGTACTGAGTGGACATTCATAAGTTTACAATCCACATGGAACTATAACTTTCTATTTTAGCTATCTTTTCAACAGCATTTTGAATCTATAGAATGATGCCTTCAACTGAAGTTTAACATTTTGCACCAAAAATATCTCAAACTGAAGAAATATTTTGACTTGCATTTTAATTGTTTGAAAACAGGGAAAGGAATTAATGGGTCCAGTGCAATTATTATGAAATTAAACTATCTACTAGCCTTTCTTTTCCTTGGACAATACTTGGCCATTCAATATAAGCTTTTAAAATCTCTGCCATTCCATGTAGATAAGACTTATTTGACTGATACTGCAACTAACTCTGTTAAACACTAGGAAAGTGGTTTCAAGTGCATTTCTAGCTGAAATGTGCACTGAGCTCAGTATTTTAGATTATGTGATTGGAGCATGTAATTATGACCTGTATACATGTTGTGGTAATTGAAAGCTAAGTCATAAGGACATGTATTGGAAGTAAATCCATGTAATTCCCAATGGAATTTATTTAGATGGATTAGACAAGTGAGTTACAGAATACCTTTCCTAGAACCAACCAGTAGTGGGATTCAAGTAAGTTAACAACTGGTTCTCTGCCCTAATGATTTCTTCCAACAACCAGTTTGCCAAACTGCTCAGAAAGTTAACAACCGGTTCTCCCGAAGTGGTACGAACTGGCTGAATCCCACCACTGGAACCAACCAATATTCATCATGGAGGCAAGACCTCAGGCTTATCTTAATAAAGGCAGATGGGTATTTTACTGACACTACGGATTTAGTCATAATTGATTAACTTGGCAGTTAAGGTAGAAACACAATACAGTAGAGCAATGTGTACAATATATACAAATTTCATGTTAGTCTATTAAAGATGACAAAGGCATTCATTACACACCATAATATACCCTACTTCATTGTATGGCTGAAGTATGAAGATTTACTTTTAGTCAGCAGAGTATATATAATCACACATATATAAATACAAAGGAAGACATATTTTGTAAATTGTGTATAGCTAACATAGCTAAGTACTGACCAATAAGTAAACCACAGAACTGAGACATACTTTAGTTATAGTGCAAGTACTTGCATATTCATGGGATAAGTCCTTTTGTAAATAGAAGCATATTTCCCTCTTTTTAAAAACTTTTGCCACTTTTTAAAAAAAAAATGTATATACACTTTTAAAGATCAGATAAAACTTTTGACAGTCTATGACACAAGCATATGGCAAGCATCTCTTCTGTTGACAATAACATACAGTATATTCCTAGATGAAACCAGTCATTCTGATTTCTGATATTAACTCATTAAATTCTAAAGGAAAACTCATTAAATTAAAACTCATTAAATTCTAAAGGAAAAGGAAAGGATCCTAAATTAGATATACCTTACTTTTTTTCTTTTCTTCCTGAGGTACTACAGCTACAGGAAGGCTGAAGGGCACACTTTTAGCACAGCCCATCAACTACTAGCAATAACTCTCCACAGGACCTATTGTTAAGTAGGTGTGCATGGCTAAACACATACACATATAGAGCAATATGGAGCTCATAAAAAAAAAAGCCACCTGTGGAGACTGGAAAGGCTGAGCGAGTCCCAGGGTGTCCTTGTTAATCATTCCAGCTAGCAGAAAGCAGCCTCACTTTGAAGTATGCCCTTTGCAATTCCTGTGGCAAACTCCTCTAGCTGGCCCTGAGAATGGGGTTGTCTTCCCAGCTTGTAGTTTCCTGGATGCCCTTTTAAGAGGTTGTGGAGTGTTGAGGTGGAAATGCAAGTCAACTAAGCCCAGGATTCTAACGAGACATTCCAGGGAGCATCATGTGGGAAAATGCCAAGCATAACTTGTTGCATGTGCTCCACTGCCCCGGCTCTTCTCTTTCCCTTAACATTTTACCCACAAGGGCTAAGCGATTAAAACCTCAAACCCACAGATATAAACAGAACAAAGGTTCTTGATCGGGCACTTTCTTCCTTGCCAGGAAGCTGATGGGCAGCCTTATGGATCACCATCCCCAGGATATACTTCAGGGCAATTATGCCTGCTCGGTTTGGGCAAAGAAGGGATCAAGCGTAGAATCTCTCTCTCTCTCTCTCTCTCTCTCTCTCACACACACACACACACACACACACACACACACACACACACATCTCGGGTTTCCTTCAGTTCCTACCAGCGGTGTTGTCAAACGCCCCACAGGAGAAAAGTAAGACTTTTCAAGCAACCTGTCGGCGTTTTACCCGCCGCTTCCTGCTACTTCCACCCTCCACTCCCACCTCCGACCGGTACTCACACTCTCTCCGCATTCCTGGGAATGCCTCGGGGCACCGTTTTAAGTCCCAATCCGTGACAATCCACGCCGGATCCCGAGCAGGTACATTTGCTGGGACACGCTTCCGTACCAGGCAGCCAAAGCGCCACGCTCCACAGAACCCAAAACAAACAGAGGCGCCCCGAACTCTCGTCGCCTGAGCCCAGCATGATCGGCGCCTACTTGGGGTAGAAACGGGCAGAAGCGAATTCAAAAAGAAAAAAAAAACTTGAATCCGATCCCGAAACCGGCGCAGGAGCCAGAAGAAGCAAGCTCAGCACCGCCGGGGGAAACGGGACGATGCTACGGAAGGCATCTCCTTCAAACTCCCGGACGGGTCTCTGTTTTGCGCCTACACCCTCAGGGAAAGCTCCGAGGGACGTCCCGGTCCCCCCTCTTCGCAACCGAAGGCGCAACCTGCCCAGCTCAGCTCAGCTCTTGTCTTCCTTTGCGAGTCCAGGTAATCGGCCGGTGGGGAAAAGGCGGGGGTGGGGGAGCTCAGCAGCCTCAGACCCTCACTCGACCGGCCAAGCCCGCCGCGCACAGCCCAGCATGGCCCCTTGAAAACCAACGGCGGCCGCAGCAGGATGCAAATCCCGAAGAACGGAGCCTGCAGAGCTTGAGGAGACCCGGGGGCGCTCGCAACCGGCCGCCTCTCCATGGACTGGGCACGGCAAAACGGGCGGACCCGGGAGACGCGGGAGACGCCCCCCTCCCCTCCCCAAAATAGAACCTTCGGCGCGGATTGGCGGCCGCCCTTACTGACGTCACGCAACTTCGGAACTTCGGCAGGGTAGGTAGGGCAAAAGTTTGAAGAGCGGCGGCGGCGGCTGCCGAGGGGCGTGGTGACGCGCGAAGCGGAGGTGGCTGGCTTCTTCGCGAGGTGGCTTAGAGTTGCACCGAGGCATTGGCAGGGCTGCCTGATCGGGCTTAAAACGAGAGAAGCTTGTGGAACCTGAAAAACTAACCAGTTGCTAACGTAACTCTAGTGGTTAAAAATAAAAAAATAAAAAATGCGCCGAGTATGCACAAAAGTACTGCTGCGAGATGTAACTGTGATCATCGTTCGCATAGCTGATTTGATTGATAGCTGATTTGGACCCTTTGATGTCTCATTTTAGAAATGATGGGTGGCTACGACGGTACCGGATCTGGGCTGCCAAAACGCTAATGCGCAGGAAGGAGACACGGGAAGCGTTGACTGTCACTTTGGCTGTGGTTTTAGTGAAGCAGGTCTGGTAGCCCTATTCTTCTATGAGGGCTGAAATTCTTTCATAAGGCGTTCTTACTATAATTATTGCTTACATTGAAACAGGATACAGACACCAGGTATTTTTGGCTAAAGAACAAGTTCCCAAAGGGTGACTCAAGCCTTGTCTTCTATAGGTAGTATTTACTGGATCTTTATCAAATGTTGCCATTCACCTTCAAGATCATTATCAAAGCCAGCAGTACTGAAGCTTGTTCTATTAGAAATTAGTCATTTGCCAATGACTATCCATTTTAATTTGCAGGATTAATATCATTAATTAATTAATTAATTCATTCATTCATTCATTCATTCATTCTGGCAATCTCATTTCAAAGGGATTTGAGCAGTTTACATCAAAGATCCTGGTTCAAAATTCAACCAAACCCTAATCTTATGTACACTTTGATTCCAAGTATTTTATTTCAGAACTGATTCCCTGTACTGAAATTTCATGGCTTGAAAGTTTGACCCTGGGTATGTCCGAGAGTGTACTCTAACTTTTCGCCAGGCCATGTGACATGCACACCTGCGCAGGGACACACACACAAAAGATCTTTTTACACTCTGTTTTTGCTCATCATTATCAGCAGTTCAAAACCATCATCGTGTTACCTTTTGGGAAACGCTGCTAGGTAGTGACTGTTTTCACATGACATGCTTACCCCAAGTTAAAAACATGGTTTGCTCAACTAAAACAGTTTTCTGGATTTGTAAAATCAACGAATCATACAGGTGGAGTTTTCACAACACATTAGGCTGAAATGTAATTGGTTAGTTTGTGGTTCACAGTGTCATGTCGATACACCCAATGAATTCTACAGAAAACACACTTCCAGATAGGGATCTATAGGAATAGGAGATCTATGCTAAGGAGGTCTAATAAGAGTTTTAACATCTAAACTAGTTGGTGATTTTTTTGCTGAGCCTAGGCTTCCCTAAACATTTTGTTGACAAACAAGCTGCAGTGCCTCCAACTTTGTTCTTTATCTGTAATATAAATAATAATACAGTATTTATATATTGCAGCAATTAATAGGATCTTGACTTACAGTATTTGGAAAAGCTATGTAGGGTTGGCCCTGGTTAGCTCTTGGATGGAAAATAGCCTGGAAATTCCTAGGCTATCAACTGGACCAGGAAGTTGAACAAATTCAATATTGCAGAATTAAAAAAGGAGAAAACCACCTTTTTATTAATGCCCAGAAACTTTGAATTAAAACTTAATGTGGTCATCTGAAGTTGAGTTCATCTCACAGAGAACCTTATCTTTAGCAGTATTGACCTGGTGAACAAACTTAGTCTAAGGATAAACTGGGATAATATTCTTGATGTGATTTGTGGTCATAGGAAAAAAAATTATAGTAGTGAGTAGTGAGTATAGTAGTGAGCATCATGTAGCCCTTCCCTCATTAAACTCCAACTTGCATGGCCATTGATGGAAGTTATAGGAACAAAATGTGAGATACAATTCATTGTCCTTTCATGAATTACATATTTTTTCTCTCTCCACATTCTTCGTTCTTTTCATTGTATGTAGCACCTTCCTGAGTCCAAGAGTTTGCAATATCTTTGAACTGTCCAAGCTTTTATAATGTTCCTGGAGCAAAGCAGACAAAAATCTCAAAATCTTTCTGGAAAAAAATGAGTTCCAAGTCTAGCACATAGAATTTCGATGGAGTGCAAGAAATTTAGCCCAACTTTTTCCTGTCGGGGGTGCATATTTTCTCAGACACTACAAGGCTTTTCAGACACACGTTTATAGTTAACAGCACTGAGAGAAACCACCCAATATGTTAGCTTGTTCTATAAAATTCTCAGGTTTCAGACCTTTCATGAAAATCACATTTTGCTTATTTTTCCCCACTCTTGTACCACCCTCTGGTGGTAGAAATGCTTTACATTTTTAACCAGACATAACTTTCCCAGTTGGAGTCATTTCTCCAAGACAAGCACAATGACTCCCAATCCATTTAGATAACTTTATTTTTTTTCTCCCCTGTCTCATTGCTTGGAATTATATCAAGACAAGCTACATTTCAGATCATGCAATTCATGCCATTGGGTTTGTATTGATGAATACATTTATACAGTTTCCCTGGGAATAGCTCTGTTAATCTGGAACAGCAAAAACACTGCTGACTTTTCTCCGAACATGATGCCCACCTATGGTATTAAATACAAAACAAGGGTGTGAAATCCTTGTTGATACGGCATATTTCCAGATAGGATGTTTGAGAAATACACTAAGTCTCAAAGGAGTATAGTTCTCTGAAGAATAAAGGGGAAATTATACAGCAAACCCTTTCAGGAAAAGTACTTAAAGTGCATCCTGAAAGTTCATTTATTGAATTAAAAATACAATGATGATAAGGGGAGATATCTTTAAATTCCATTATTTACAGGACTGCCTAAAAATAAGAATCTTTTTTTATCATAGAATTTACAGTGGAAGATGCCACTACTTACTGAAACCTTCCTTCAGAAATGTGCTTTCTTTCTACATACAGTTAACTGCTTGCTTTAATTAGAGTTAGGAAAGGAATCTTTATGGGGACTTCAGCGCTAAGGAGGCTTCCTTTCCTTTCCCTTCCCTCCCCTACCATACCCTTCCCTTTATTTCCCACCCAACCCCATTAGGGCCATTTTAAGACTCTCTATTTATCTCCACTCTAGCAATTTACAGCATCTTCTACACTTATCCAATCACTGTGACAAAATATTAGTAAAGGTGGACAAGCTTTACATTGCTTCAACAAAGGATGACAATACTATCAAGATGTTTTAAGTCACTTATAGTCCCTGTTGCACCTTTTCTTGCAGCATCTTAGAGCAATGTAATTTTTTCTCCCCTACTTTTTGTCCCTAGTCCAATAATCAATCAGGTGTATGGAGGAAAACCTGAAATAACTCTTGGAACTATATTATAACTCATAATCTTACTGACTTGAATGAAAAATGTGGGTTCATTGGATCCTTTCAAATGCTGCATTATGTAGTTGGATGTTACCTCTCTATATGCAGAGATTGGGCAATTGTCCATAGAACCTGTATTTTAAAACACCATGCATGCAAATGTACACATAGAATGCTTGCAATGTGCTTTGGTGTCACTGCCATTTCTGCTTTTTTGATTTGTTTGGAAGGAAAGAGATAAGCTTCCCCTTCCAAGTTCTGTATTTCCAGGGAAGACCCAACTTTGCCCATATCAGTAAGACTGTTAAAATCAAAACCAAAGTATGGTTGCTACATATTAACATGGCAATATGGCTCAGGATTTCATTTAGGTAAAAGGGTGTAAATAATTGAAATTAATCCTGCACATAATGCTCTGCAGAATGGTGTAAACTGTAAGGGGGTGGGTGGGTGAGAAAGTCAGTGTTTAAATTTAAAGAGGTCTTCTAAACTGGTGTTCTTCATAAATGTGGGAAAAAAACATCTCTCACAGCCTACATGGGATTATGGAAGTTGGTGAGGGAAAAGCTAATTAGAAAAAACACATTGGACAAACAGGAGTAGATCAGATTGGAGCATTACAGAGATAAGGGTAGAAAAGGATGACAATGAGTTTTGTGATGTTTTTCATGCAGTTAGTCCTCCACTTACAACAATTCATTGAGTGACCTTTCAAAGTTACAACAGCACTGAAAAAAGTGACTTATGACCAGTGGTGAAATCTAAAATTTGTTACTACCAGTTCTGTGGGCATGGCTTGGTGGTGGGTAATGTGACTGGGTGGGCATGGCCAATTTTTTTTTTTTTACTTTTAAAAACATTTTTTCTACAACCTCTTCAGCGAAGAGGTTGTAAAAAAATGTTTTCCAAAGGCTCTGATGATACCAGCTGAGTTGCCTGATCGGCTTTTTAGAAAAAATGTTTGTAGAAAAAATGTTTTAAAAGAAAAAAAGCCTCTGCCAATCAGGCAACTCAGCTGGGATCGTCAGAGGCTTTTAAAAGCATTTTTTTACAACCTCTTCAGCCAAAGAGGTTGTAGAAAATATGCTTTGAAAAGCCTTTGATGATGCCAGCTGAGCTGCGCGATTATCAGAGGCTTTTTTTTTTTTTCTATCATGCGACTCAACTGGGCATGGGTGGGGGACAGGGATTTTTGCTACTGGTTCTCCGAATCACCACCTCCATCGCTACCGGATTGGGCGATCCAGTCCGAACCGGGAGCATTTCACCCCTGCTTATAACCATTTTTCACACTTACAACTATTGCAGCATCCCCATGGTCACATGATCAAAATTCAGACGCTTGGCAATTGGCTCATATTTATGAGGGTTATAGTGTCCTGAAATCATGTGATCACCTTCTGCAAGCTTCTGACAAACAAAGTCAATGGCGAAGTAGATTCACTTAACAACTGTGTTATTGATTTAACAACTGCAGTAATTCACTTAACAACAGTGGCAAGAAAGATCATAAAATGGGACAAAGCTCACTTAACAAATGTCTTTTTCATTTAAGTAATGTAAAATAACCCTATATTTGTTAGTTAATAGTACATAGCATCTGTAAATAGATGACATAAATGATTATTATTATTATTTTTAATGAAATGGTTTAAGT